CAGTGACACATTAGCGATACGTTACACCGAAAATGTACCGGACATTGAACCACCGATGGAACATATCAGTGTTAGGAAACAGCGTCCACCACATCCACTATCTTTGTATGATTGTTTACAGGCATTTAGTCAAAGGTTTGTAATAATTCATAAAATTTATTTATATCTATTTTATTAATTAAATACAATGTATTGTACGCCTGATAAGCGAAGCATTGAGGTAGTGGTCTACTCTCAACATTTCAAAAAAGCAGTTTTTTTGAAACTGAAATTGATTTTTTTTTTTATTTATATCACACTTACAGGTTAATATGAGTACACTTATATCAAGTCAAATAATTTTTCAGGCACATAAAATATATTTCAATAACAATTTTTTTGTTTAACATAGTAAATAATAACATTAAACACAATTTTTCCTGGACGTCCGTGTATGGATGGGTGTATCTGGCAGAGAAATTGCTTAAAAAAATGATCGTACCGGAATAATTTTTTTTTATTATTTAAAGTAACACACGACGGATTTTTTCAATTAATATGAGCGTTCAATTCACTGTTGTTAAATTGTTATTTATAAAAAATTAATTTATGACTGTATTTTTTTGTATATCTATCTATACATTTTATTATGGTATTTTTTTTTCTCACCTTAGAATTATGACTAAATTATAGCAGAGTTTTCTGTTTTTAATAATTTTGCTTTTTATATTTTATTTTAATGAATTTTATTGTGAAAAATGAGATTATGAGGCGTGCACTTTTGAATTTTCCAAACTTTTTTTTTTTTCTTTATTGAATTAAAATTAAAAATTAATTTTTTTGTACTTACAGTGAAATGTTAGATGAACACAATCCATGGTTTTGTCCAAAGTGTGAACGGAATCAGTGTGCTACTAAGACATTGACTGTTCATCGCTATCCTAAGTACCTCATAGTCTACCTTAAGAGGTAATTTTTAAAGATTTATTTTTAATAAAAAAATTTTAATCATTAATATTAATTAATCAATTTTTTGTTTTAACAGATTCGTATTTCATGAGTGCGTTAGCATGAAATTGGATGATAAAGTAACATTTCCTTTAGCCGGACTGAGTCTAGGCAAGCATATGTACGATCTGTATGCTTGCGTCTGTCATTACGGAGGTAATTTATTATTCATATAAATGTGATTATTTAATTTAATGAAGGTTGGAATATTTATTTGATGCTTTTGTATTCCAGGTGTTTCTGCTGGGCATTATACGGCATACGCAAAGAATCCTCACACAGACGTGTGGTATCACTACAATGATGAACTGACGAGTAAACAGAAGCCACAGGAAGAAGATTTTAGTAATGCATATATTTTATTCTACAGCCGACGAGAAACAGACTCAAAGCCATGTAATTTATAAATTAAAGGAAAAACACAATGGCAACGAAGAGAAATTTTAAGTCAGAAATTTTTCGTATAAATTAATGTGTTTAATTGTGTATAAATAATTAGGCGTTGGTTCAGGCTAAAATATTAGGATAATTTTTTCAATTATTATTATTATTATCATTATAAATGTTGATAATATTTTCACTGATTGTTATGGAGATTTTATTTTTTTTTTCTTCATAAAAAACTCAAGTCTCAGTGATTAGTTAAATAAAAATATTTAAATAAAAGGAAAAAAAAAAAAAACATAACTAAAGTAATTAAAGTAACGTAAAAAAAGATCACAAGAGGCCTGGATCGATGTGATACTTCCTGCGAATCGTCGCAACAAAAAACTAATGGATCAAAGATAATTAAAAAAATGTTTTTATTATTTTCCAATTTAATTGAATGTAAAACAAAAGTTCGCTTATTATTGTAATATTAATATTAATTCATGATAGTAATATTAATGGAAATACTTTTATTGATGTATGCGTATCGAATCGATTATTATTTAAAATTTTTAATCTAAATCAATTGAAGAAAAGAGAAACAATGTGTTTATTCATTAAATGATAAGTTGATTAGTAATGTGCAAAGCAAATATAAGTCATTGGAAATGCGTCGAATTTTTAATAAAATAAAATAAGAATCAATCTCATAAAAGTAATTTTAATAGATAATAAAACAAACAAAAAATGACTGTTAAGAACAATTGTTACGTCTTTTTTTTTTTATTTTATATATATATTTAATATAATAATTAATAGTAATTAATGATAATAGTACACGTATGTTAATTCTTTATTTTAAATTAAAAATACCTTGAATGATTTCATTTAAAAAAAAAAATAAGGAAATTAATGTTGGGCTTATAGTATTATTTATTAAATTATTTATATTGAATTTTTATTACAAGGAATGTATCAACAAACACACACACGAATATACAATAATTATTGTTGTGTCATTATATTTAAGTGCTAATTATATTTATTATGAATTGTATGTTTTTGGTTTAAATTTGTTTCATTAAAAAAAAAATAATGATGAAAACAAATTAAAAATTTTCATTGATAACAATAAAAAAAAAAAATTATTTTTATTATTAAATAATCAAATATTCATTGTAATTTGTTTTAAAAAATGTTTTCGTGTCTGTTGTTTAGTTGTATATGATACAAATAGCTATTTGTCATAAATTGTTTTTATCTCGTCTCATTTTTATCGAATTACACGAAAATATTTACATATATATTTATTTATTTTTTTATTAAGTGACTTTGACATTATCCAAGTGTTATAAATTTATTAAAGATGATTATGATTAAATGGTAGCATGATAATGATAATGATCATGGTAAAATGACAGTAATGATGATGATTGTGGGACATTTGTAAATTTTTTTTTTTTTTTTCATTCATTATTATTATGACTAGATTTATTTAAGTTGTTTCGACATGCGAAATGGAGATTCTGCCTTCATCAGACATAATTCTCTACTAGGCGCCGATTACAAAGCTATTTTCTCAATAATATTCATTTATTCTTACGTCAATGACCAAGTAAATTTATTTTCTTCTCAATATCGAATTTTTAAAAACAATATTGTGATTACATAATAGCAACAAAATAATGTAAAATTTGTCGGTGAATTCCACCAGAGAAATAACAATATTTATACCTCAAACAAAATTATGTATTCATAAGACTTCTTTTACATATCTTGTAAAAAAAGCGCAAAAAAATACATGAACCAGCATGAAATGAAAGTCATTATTCTAATGGAGTTTATTTAGGTTCCCTTGCTATGATTCTACCCCGCGGATATTATTACGCCGGTCAGTTTGACCCTATTTGTATAGTCAATCACGCTCGAATAAAATTATAGTCGGACAAACCTGAATAAACTTTACTTCGATAATTAATAATTTTTACCTGCAGAATATTTTGATATTTAAAATTATGATTTTATTATTAAAACAATCCTGCAGGGAATACATAAAATATTGAACCGTATTCATAAAAAAATCAAAAATCATCTCTGTAAGTTCATAATCAAATCAGAGTCACGTAAATGTAACTCGAATATTGAGAGAATTTTAAAAATTTTGGTCATTGACACAAGGGAGGCAAATCAATGGAAAAAATACAAATTATCATTATTATTATTTCTTTGTTCAGTCATGTGTTCTATTCGCAACTGTTGTATATTTTTGTTTCGTTTTTTATCATAATACTATTATCGGATTTTCCTTTTCACATTTTCACAGCAGGTGGGTAATCGTGCTATGTGTTTTTATTATATTATTATTTTTTTAATATATACGTTTTATCTTTCCATTATAAATATAAATATATGTATATTATATATTTAAATATCTTTGCCATTCTAATTTAATATCATTATTTTAAATCTTATCAATGGTTTTATTTTTATTTATTCATTAATACTGTTGTTTCGCGACGTAACTATTCAGGTGTCAACGCACTTCTTTCATCATTCACTAAACAGTTCACATTATAAAGTATACTGTGAACTCCCAACAACTACTATAAAGAAATTACTTTTATTATCATTTATTATCATTATTATTATTAATAGTAGTAGTAATTAATTTATCTTTAAAATTATTTACGCGCGATACAACAGCTTAAATACATATCCCGATATGGACAACGTTAACAAAATAATTCTTCGCTTTTTACATGTTATTATTTCTACTAGATCTAGACAATTTTTTTATTATTCATTTTTTTTTCTTCTTTTTTTTTTTTTTAATTTTTACTAGATACAATAGATGACACAATTTTAATAAAATTACCAAAGTAAATTGTAAAAAGAGATGTAAATAATTATTAAAATTTGTTAGCAGGAGCTGAATTAAATTACAAATAAATTTAATCCACTTAAAATAATTAATTACACGGTTGTAAATAATTTTTCACGGTTGAGAACCGTTTACAATTATTTATACGCGTAATTATTAATTTTTATTGGATAAACTGACGACAAATTACTGAAATTTATACTTGGGGTAATTATTTTTTTTTTCTTTTTCGTTCCATAAAAATGCTATATCAATTACATCTTACAATAATTGCGTAACAACGTTATTAATAACATTACATAATAATATTAATTTTTATTCCTAATTATTGTGTACGGTGGGTCTTAATATTTATATTATAATATATTTAATATAAGAATGATATTTTTTTTTTGTCTTTTAGTATTTTTTTTTACGAACGATTTTACATAGTGGCAATGGTCTTGTATGGCAAATGACATTAATTAATTTTATTATTATTATTATCAATTATAATTATTAATATTTTATGAAAATTTAATTTTATTAGGAACAAAAAGTAGTTCCCGGTATTTAGATCCTCATCGTCTTTATAATTTATTATTTACTTCTTTAAAGTATATAATTTAAAATAATTATACTTGTGTATTTATATGAATTAGTATAATTAATTAATTATTTATTTATTTTGAAAAGACAATTCGAGGCCACTTGTTTGGTTTTTAAATAAAATTAAATTTATTGGGAAATATTATTTTTATTGAAATAATACGGCAGATAGTTTCTAATGAAGAGCTACTGTAAACCACACAACTTGACCCGGATGTACAAGACCACCGATTTCACAATTAACCGTTCGCGTTTCTCCATTCAATACAAAGAGAGCTTCGTTCGATGGACTCACCATATAACGTCCAAATATACCACTTTGGACAATTGGCCTGTTCGGATTTCCCCATTTGGTTAAATTCATTGGCATCGCTTTTCCAACGCCTGTTATCATTTCTACTTTACCTGATAAAAAAAAATCAATCATAAAAAAATTAACTTTAATTTTTTAATTAAAAAAAAAAAATAATTTTTAATCAAGTCAGACAATTTTCAGTATTTTCAATACATTGTAAAAAAAATGGTAAATATTTACAAGTGGGGTCAACCATTTTAATTTTAATTTTTTTGAACGAAATGTCTATTTGATTTTATTGTTATAATTTTTTTTGAAAAATGCATAAAAAAATGAATTTTAAAAAAAAAATTGATTATCACAATTTTAACAAATTTTCAAAAAAATTTATAAATTTTTTAGAAAATTGTGATATTCAAATTTTTTTTAAATTGTTCTTTTTTCTATATATACTTTTCAAAAAAAAAAAAAAAAATATATAAAAAAAAATAAAATAGAAAATTTTTTCCAACTTTTGAAGGCAAAAAAGCTATCGAAATCTTTATTTTTTTCTTTCACGACATTTTTTAATAACAGCGCCGTAAAAATAAGCAGAATAAAAAAAAATTTGAAAATGTTAATTTTTCACTTAGTTATGGCCCAAAATGGGGTTTACCCCACTTGTAAATAATTACCAAAAGAATTTGATAATAATTTTATAAATAAAAATTTCTATAAAAATAAAATTGATTGAAAAAACACCAAATTTTATGATTTGAGCAAGTTTAATATTAATAAAAGCGATTAAAGTTACCTGTAGCTAAATTAAGAAACAATATGTCTTCTTTATCTGTCGAGGAAGCGTATAAATCATATCCATGAGTTGTTTGCGATGGATAAAATGTAATATCACTAATATTTAATGTTGTTTTAACGTCAAACGAAAACTTTAATCCATTTGCTGAAATAAAAAATAAAAATATTTATTATTGATAAGAAGAATAAATAAGAAATAACAAAATGACTTTTTTAATAAAACTTTAGCAAACTATAAAGAAAAAAAACGAAACTAACATATTACTTTTCATTTACATGGGGTTTTTTTCTATGTTAGTTTAATTATTATAGACGTGACATTTAAGCATACGTGAATGTATTACCAAGTAAATTAATATTTTTTCTCCTTAAGTAAAGAGATAAAAACTTACGTAGTATTTCTTGGACAACAAGTATAACTCCACTGGCTTGTTTGTCCAACGTGACAACGTGACGTGAATCCGGTGATACCATAGGTTTCCCAATAAGCCCGGGTTTGTGAGACAAAACCGTATCCGTCAAGTAATCTAATAAAAGTTGCCCGGTTGCTTTACCAGTAATTGGTTCCTCGCATTGTAATATTACGAATCCATCTGAAAAATTTTAATTAAGCTCAATTAGCATTCAAATAATCAATGGCTGTGATAATACAAAAGAGAACCCCAAATTTTTTCCATAAATTTAAGTATTAAAAATAATTATAAAAATTTATTTATTATCTAGTGAAACCATCGCTTTACGGTGGCATAAATGTAAATATTACAAAACTTAATGTAGAAAGTGTAAAAGCCACAATTTATAATTTAATATCGAAAATGTGATTAGTAGCTATAACTATACAAAAAAAGAAATTTTTTTTCTGTGTAGTAAATAACGACTCTCTCATCTTAAAAAATTTACAGTTTCAAATAGTAAAAATTGCCGTTTCAATATATAGTTTATACTATGAGAAGAAGGGGAAGGTCTCACGCTCGGAGAATTTAACATTTGAAACAATAAAAATTCTACTCTTAAAATAATATATTTTACCAATCCAAACAAATCAATAATTATAGTTTGATTTTTAGCGTTGCGTTTAAAATTTACCATTTTACTTTGTAAATATTGACGTTGCTTGTACAGAAAATTTAGTAACTGTAGTTTATATTTTTTACACATCATGCGATCATTTATTTAGGTACAAAATGCTAAATATCAAAGTCAAAATTCTTAATAATAATACTTTAACATTTTCGACTTTCACATAGCGAATATTACTGTTTGAAATAGTATTTTCTTCCATGTAAATAATAAATTGAATCATTTAAATGATAAATAGTATAAAGTAATTGTTAAAATCACGATTTTACTGTTTGAAACGGTAATTTTTTCCAGTTGATCATTACTTATTATAAATAGACTATTATTTATTACAGTTAACTTTTTTCCGTTGATAAAGTTGAATTTTAAGTATTTAAAAGCAAATATTAAATATTGTATCCATCAGCCGTGTGAAGTTAATTAATAACACGTTAATAAACACTGGAGAGGTAGTATATAATATTATATGGAAAATATTGGAATATGTAACTTACACAAGGCTGGAAATTGAATGTGGGCGGGCACGCAATTGTATGGTGCGAGATCGGCGCTTCTGGTGTACCGCATGTTTGCTAGATCAAGCTTGTACATGCCCCGTTGATTAGTGTGAGTGACGTATCCGTATTTAAACATGTGCCCGATATCCTGTTAAATGTTTTAAAGGACATTGATTAATTTATGTTATAGATAATAATAACAACAACAACAATAACACTCATTATAATTCATAATTAATTATCGATTATCAATAAATAATTAACGAATATTGTAAAAGTAATGAATGAATAAATTAACCTGTAGATAGGGAATGTAGAGACCGCGTACTAAATCAAACTGCCCGTCAATAGGTTCCGGGTGTACTGTATGGTGTTTTCTTTTTTGCGCGGCGTCTCTGATTACTTGGATTGTTTTTATACCGATGTTACGCTCGCTCCGCCAATTCAATACCCAAACTTGATCTAATGCCGGCACATACTGCAACTCCACTGGATATTTATCTGTAGCTACAACCTGAAAAAATATAAAAGTTATTTATGGCCCGATAACTCAATACCTCGAACCTCCAGAGCCAATCAATTAGTCTTGCAAAAAATGAATCTGTTTGAGTTTTCAAGTTTTCAATGGGGATGCTTTCACAGCCTATCTCTCTTTTTTTTGTTACCGTCAACGTCCGAACGTGTGAAATCTGTATGTATATTAAAAGAATTTTTCTTTTATCAATTTCACGGTGAATTTTGTATGAAACAAAAGTTTTAACCACCCGACTTTTCCGAGCTCAATACATTCTGGTTAAAATCAAATTCTGCTGGTAGTATGATTCGATGCCCGATAGTTCAACTGACCGTGCAGCGAGCTTTGGTAAAATAACTTTCCCCAATATATACTGTCAATTATTTTTCTACTGTGCAGACAAAAAATACTATCTTTTTTACATTTTTCCTTTCACGTCGATCTGGGTTAAATCCATTTATAAAGTGTGTATTATTAGATTATTATTTATTCGAAAAAACTTTTTAATATCAATATAAACTTTTGTGTTTACGGACAAGCGGCAAAAACCTTGACCGAATTTTTATAAATAAGATCGATTGATAAATTAGTTAACCACGATCGTATAAATAAGATTGGCAGATTGGATTGCTGGTTATTTAAAATTATCGCGACCTTTAATAATCGCAGTTACTCCTATCCGTTTATCGATATATTAATTTTTAATGGTAAGAGATGCTTTTAGCCTTTTGAATGCAGGCGAACGTAAATCTGATGATAAATTTAAACTTTAAATTCATCCTTAAAAATTTCTACGATATTTTCGTCTTAAGTTATTAAGCTTTTAAGGTTCGACTATAAATAGATTTAATTTATTTAAGTTTCAATGTTTAAATTCACCTCTTGAACTTTTTATTTTAGATGGGTTATTTTTAACTCATTAGATATAAACAAATAACTTGCGATAAATTTAGAGTTTAGTTAAAATTAAATATTATAAAATTTTTGAATTAATTTTTAATGAAATTTTTTAATTAATTTTTTCAAAGACTTCAATCATGAATAAAAGAAATTTATTATAAAAAATTTATTTTTTAATTTATTCAAAAAGATTTACTCTAAACTTATCAACATTCTTTGATATTAAAACAAATCCAGGATTAAAATTCATCGGTGTGCTTTGATGAGAAGATAATATTTAAAAAAAATAAGTTCTTACATCAACAACGACCATCTGAATTTTGCTGATAACTAAAATTCTATCTTTCTCAGGCTGTGTAACGTATACATAACGATTAGCAACGTTGATAGCGCGGCCCCAGCTGCAGGGTATATCCTTTTCTCCGCAAACATATTCCTGTAAGCAAACAATATTTTCCATTTTTATCCACATTATATTACTTCTATCACCACAATAATAAAGAAAGTATTAATCACAACCTTCTCTCTCTAAAAAAAAAAAAAAAAAAAAAAAAAAAAAAAAAAAAATTAAATAATACACTTTATTCTCTGTCAAACTATCACAAATACTCGCTCAATTATAAAAACCAATATAAAAACAAGAAAAGTGTACCTGTGTCCCGGGGATGATATCCGTGGAATGAATTTGATGATAAAGTCGACAAGCAGACGGCTCGTAAACAGATATGCCCCATTCGTGGAATGAAAAGAACCTCCGCTCTTCATTAGCCGCTGCTGCAAATAAAAATTCAAATTTTAATTTTAGTTTTTTACTTGTTCTTTAATTATTCACCTCTGTGGATGAAAAAAAAAGAAAACCGTAATGAAGCCGTTCAGAGTATATTTATTTATTTTTATTTTTTTTGAGCGGACAAAGTAAACACAAGTATTTAGTCCAGTTTTTTCCCACAATATTTTAATTAAAAATTCATATTTTAAATCTTTAATTAAAATTTAGTCTTTAATTATCGAACTGTCAGATTTTTCAACTATTTAGCAGAATAATTTAAAAAACAAAGTGATTAAGTCGGTAAAACATATTAAATAGCTTTAAATGACACAAACTGTTAATCTATTTATTGAATGTTGTTGTTCTATTGTTCGGATGAGTAAATGGTGAGATGTGAAAAGGGATAATTGAAGCTACAGGCAAGCGGATAACCACAAAGTCCGCAATTTGGATCGGATCAAGAGTCAAAACTACGGAACTGCCGATCGATCGATCACCGGGTTTGCGGTTAGCGTGAGTTTGCTGCGTCTCATTGCTTTCGATACAACATTTTACTCACTAGCTTGTACCAGAGCTGGCTGGGTCTGACAGTAAGTGTGTATTAGCCTATTAAACAAAGCGCATTATGAAGTCTATTGATAATCATCAGCAATAAGGGCTATAATCATCAGCAATAAGCTAGCTGAAGCCGATTCACCTACAGTAACCTATATAATATTATTGTTTATTATTTTAAAGAGCATTACTTGGGGTTGGCTGCTCCTGAATAACTAGGCTGCTGATATCGCGGGTCAGTCCGCCGATGCTCGTAGCCTGACACATATAAGCCCCAGTGTCAGCGTATCCAATATTTCTGACGATAAGTTTTGTCCCGTTGCCAACAACCTCGTACTTGTCTTCCTCGTGAAGCGATTCGTCGTTTTTCAGCCACTCGACTCGTGGTAACGGCTCCCCGACGACGTGACAAGACATCATTGCTTCCTCGCCCGGACGTTTTGATTGCAATCTCGGTGTCACTCGTACCTCTGGTATCGCTTTGTTGTCAAATAAAAAATTTTAGATCATGATAAGCAATGGTGAGGGTTTTAATTTTTACTCAATAAAAACACGGAGAGAATGAGTCTTTTATTTTAGTGATAACAGAAATTTATTTTTTTTATTCTGCTTGTATTTACGACGTCGCATTTATGGTAAAAAATGTCGTGAAAGAAAAAAATGAAGATTTTGATATACTTCAAGTCTATTGTAAAATTTTTTTATTATCTTGATATTGCAAAATTAAAAAAAATGATTTTTTAAAAATTAATTAAAAATATTCTGTCCAGGATTTTTCCAGCAAACTCATTTTTAATACATTTTTTAATAGCCTAAATTTATTATAAAATAGGTCTCATTCTATTATCACCCTGGTGGAGGTTGATTTAGGTTCCGATCTTAGACTAATAGCTTTTTTGCTTTTAAAAGTTGGAAAAAAATTAGCTTTCATGTTTTTAGATAAAATGTCCATATTATCTTTTTTTTATGTTTTTAATATATTTTTTTTTTTGAAAAGTACATAAAAAACGAACAATTAAAAAAAAACAATTTAACATGGCCCATCATGGGTTTACAAGACTCCACCAGTAAATAATTACCGAAAATATTTAAAAAAATAGTATTTTTTTTTTTTTAATTTTTACATGATAAAACTTTTTTTTTCAGTAATTTATTTATTTAAAAAATTATTGAATATTTTCGAGTGAATGATAATTTTTAACACTGATATCAGAAATTTGACAACTTTATAATTTTATTTAAATAATAAATTAATTTAGAAATTTAAATCAGTTCAAAATTTAGAATTTTTTTAAACTATTCAGAATTTTTTATGTTAATTTTCTTTCTAATATTTTATTTGATTAAAAAAAATTTTAATATTTCCATATCGAAAAACTTTTAGGAGAGAATCTCTACTTTAAATCCCAATCATAAGAGCCTTGACTCAGCAAACTAATTACAAATGAAAAGTTATTTTCTCTCCGTGTAAAATAAAGGTGTAAAAAAAATAATACAACTTACTGTGTACTGTCAATACATGAGTTTGAACAACGTCCTTGTTCCTTAAAGCATGGCAAGTATAATTTCCAGCATGAAGTAATTGGACGCGAGTCAGATACAAGCTACCATCGTTAAACACGCGTATCTGCAGGCAAAATAAAATTTATTCATTGTTTACACCGAAACTAGTTATATACATAGTATATTTAGTAATTAATATATTTTTTGAATACTTCAGGTTCCGATAGTGCTTCCAGGTCAGCTTCGTTACGCCTCCAAACTAGGGGTGGAGGTGGCGTGCCTGTAACATCACATTTTATCTCGACGTTATCACCAACGCGTGCTGAAATGTGATTGATCTCCAGCGATTTGTCGAGAGAAACAACCGACACACCTGCAGGAAATAAACAAACGATTCAATTAAATTCGTAATTAATTATTATTAATTTGTCACAGATTTTTTTTTTTTAATTATTAAGTATTCTTAGTCACGTTACTTATTTAGAATAATAATAATGTAATAAGCAATAAATAATAAAATAGAGAAAAGTGACATGAATATGAATATGAAAGGATATTTAATAAAAGCGATAAAAAAATAAAATATTGTACAAAGAATAAAATATTGTACAAATATTGTACAAAGCACGTTCTTTGATAAATGAATTTCTCTATAAGACTATAAAATCTGCGCATAATTTAATAATAATAATAATAATAGTTGTAAGAGTAAGAGTAATAGTTAAATAATTGAATTTAACTTACTATAAAGCTTGCTAAAAGCCATGTAAAATTCATTGATGTTAAGTCGTCCGTCTTTATCGGCATCGTCATAACTGATCATATGTCCCAGAGAGCATCCCTTGCTCAGCTGCTCCAAGTCCTCACGTTCGGCAATCTGCAAGTTAAGTGCATTACCATTACCATCCCCATCATGGATGTTATAATAAATTTACATTACTCAATTTTCAATAGCGCGCATTGAATAATCTATCATCTATCCTCTATTATATATCTCACCTGTTCCAGTTCCTCGCGCTCCAAATTACCATTATTATTTTGATCATAATGGGAGAACATTATGCTAACTAAATATTCTTTGCTATGATTGTCTTGAGTCATCAGTCGGGCATGATTATATAGCAGGAGGTTGTCCTGAAAAATTAATTGCAAATTATTGATTATTTTCCATAGTTTTATTGCAACATTAATTATTGATTTTTTAAATCTATATTATTAAGAGAATAAGAAAAATTTTGTGTCCAGGATAATCATATGATAAAATCGGTTTTTTTTAGTGAAATTTAGTGTCATTGCAAAGGTCTTGACTTTAATTTGTGCCTTTTCAAGGTTTCATATCATTCTCACCGATAGTCAATTTATGATGATGAGTATTTAGGCTGCATTCTAAAATACTTTATCTCTAGATACATAGTTAAGAAATGACCTTGTATCTTGTGAACGATTGACATTCTTAAAGATATAAGCTCACCCTGACATTACACTCATCAAGACCTTTCATTTGAGTACTCACATCAATTTTTCATATATTTATATATATTATATATATGTATATATGAAAAATATATCAAAATGCATGTGGGTACTCAAATGAAAGCTCTTGATGAGTGTAACATCGGGATGAGCTTATATCTTAAAAAATGTCAATAATTAAGAGCTGACTTTGCTATTTTGTCAACTAATGATATTTTTGAAGATATAAGCTCATCTCGATATTATACTCATCAAGACCTTTCATTTGAGTACCCACATCAATTTTTCATATATTTATATATATTATATATATGTATATATGAAAAATATATCAAAATGCATGTGGGTACTCAAATGAAAGCTCTTGATGAATGTAACATCGGGATGAGCTTATATCTTAAAAAAAGTCAATAGTTAATAAAGTACAGTGCAATTTAACAAAAGTCATTATTTAATAAAGCAAAATTTTATTTATTCATAGTTCACAAATCACGACAGTCACATAGTGACAGCAAGGTTGCTGGTAATTTATAATAACGTGAATAAATAAAATTATATTGATATACACCTGACAATTGTTTTTTGGATTTGACTTTTATGACCATTAAACAATAAATAAATAAATAATAATTTTTTTGACCGATAAATTATTAAAAATGGTAAAAGAATTTTTTTTAACTCACTTGGAAAAAAAAATAAAATTTTGGAAAGATATTTTGCTCGTATTAATTAATTTTTTAAATTAAACCAAAAAATCATAATCTGAATAAAATAACATAATTAAAAAAAGAGAAACTATTATTCAGGTTGTAACATTAAGCTGTTTAAGAACTAATTCCGAATTAATAGAAATATTAGAATGTAATTTAACCTTCATTATCTCATATTCTTGAGCAGAACAATCATTAAGATCATTGGCATCAATATCCACGAGATTATCTCTAACATCCTCCGGATGATTAATCCCATTTTTGAGCCCCAGTGTTGGAGCAGTAGCTTCACCTACGGGGAGAGCCTTCGGAGTTTCTCGGTGATCCTCTGCAATAAGTAATTACTTTAATTAATGCCCTACAGATATAGATGCAGATGCAGAATACAGTTACACATATATGTGGGGTAAGACATGTAGGGGATTCTCAGTGATCCGATAAATTGAATTGCTTCGTGAGATACGAAATTCTCGAAACGTCGAAATACATGTGCATATGTAGATGTAGATATGTAGATATAGGTAGTGGTACATTTATGGGCTGTGTTTATGTATAAATGTATAAATGTATGGATGTATGTAGAATGTAGTGTGTACATGAAGGTATGTAGAGATAGTACACCTGTTGACGCGACAAATTCTTGTCGCTTTTTTACACGTCACAGCACACACTGCTAAACTTTCACGATTCCCAAACTCATACCGGATAGGAAAGGATATTGCGTTCCGCTCGAATTCCACACGCGTTCTTCTATTTTACTGAAAGTACTTTAAAGGAACGAGGGTAGATCCGACTAAACTATTGCTCTCTTTTACTATTTAGATTGTATATATCAAATTTCCGTGAATGTTTCTGCGTATGTGTGTTCAGTCGAGATATTTGATATGTCGTTTGAAGTTTACAGTTTTTGCGCTTCTAAAATATCGGGATACGTTTGAGTGATTGGTACCATTGTAAAAATTTTATTTACAAGTTATGAAAGTAAGCTCGGTTTTTATTTCACGCGAGCTTTTATTTGGGAAAACCAAAATATTCAAATGAAAATTTTTTATGCATGCCGAGTTTTTATTTGAGAATATAAAATATATTCGTGGATTTTTCGTAAGCATGGAAATGTGAAAGAAAAATTGAGTTTGTTTGATGAGATGTTTCAAAACTTATCACCGGTTGTAGATTCACAAACGTTATTTCGAATATTTTTAAGTTTGCAAATTGTTTTGGGTGGATTTGCACGAGTTTAACTACTATTGTTCTGTTTAACCTGTGGGAAATTTGAGCACGCCTACTGTGTACTGAATAATGGGGTGAATTCTGAAAATTTCTCGGTTTGCCTTAATGAACTTTGAACGCTCATTTTTCAGGATAATTACGGCGGAATCCCTTCAAAAGGGCTTGAAATTCCTGGAGTTGATTCCAAAGAGATCCTATTACATTTGGGGAATAAAGTCGAAGAAAATAACCCTTTTCATTTTTATTGATCTTTGCTGGAATTGATTTATCGTAGAGTTGGATTTAATCTGAAAGACACTCAGTATTACGATGTTACATTTTGCATAATTTTTATTTTTAATTTTAAGCTAAAAAATAGTAAGAATTTTTTTTAATTGAAAATGAATAAAAATTTATTTTTTTTTAATAAAATATATTTATACTACGTAATTTAATGTTCAATGATTGATAAAAAAATTAAAAATTAATTGAATTGAAACAAAAGTACTCAACAATTACAAATTACTACCAAGCAATCAGTAAATTACAAGCTAATAATTTTTCTCTTCATACAGCAAATTTCCATCGTACCAATTTTCCAATAAAAATACGATATTGAAATATTAATTTTTACAAAAATAATATGTTTTATTTGTACAAGGGAAATAAATTAAACAACTGAATGAACAAAGTAATTGATATGAAAAATGCGAGCTCTGCTGGTGAGTGAATTGCAATAAAATTTGATACAAACAAAATAGATTTATGAATACATTGATAGAATGATACACATTTGTGAATCGGATAAGGGCTATAATTTGGAGGTATGATTGAATCAACGTCCGGTTAGCAGCTAGATTGGGCTATACATATTTATGAAATGAATGCCTGGCAATTACCCGTGTAGTCTACGAGCCACTAGGAAACGACGATGTCGGTGATGACGATTATTAACGTATAAACGAATTTGTTTTTCATTGGATTCACCATTTATTACTGTATACTTCTGTATGATATCAAATAATGTTTATTTTTTATTTATTGACTGATACATACACCAATTTACTTCTACTTTGTGTTTGATTTGTTTCCCGAGGAATATACATATACCAACTAATTAAAAAATATTTTCCATCGAGTTTGTATTACGGAGAGGTGAAATTTATGCAAATAAAATTATGCTTGCAGTTAATTAAAAAGCCTGGTTATTGGTTAAAAAATCTTCATTTACATATAAATGAAAAAGTTTTAATAGCGGTCTTTTGATTCACTCGAATCACTGCCTGATTTTAATTTGAATCTTAGTACAATACTTTTAAAGGTATTGAGTCTTTTATATACATATATAATCCATGATATATAGGATTAAAAGTTTATAAATTTTATTATAAAATTTTTCTCGTTAAATTGTTTTTTTTTTTCCTTTTTTTTTTCTTTATTTTTATCAGAAAAACGTCAAAACCAGAAATTTTTCACGTATACACTTTTTCTTTTTTTTTCTCTATTAACATACGCCACCTTTTAACGACATGTTGAAACTTTTTCAAGTGACACGATAAAAATATTAAAAAAAGCTCGCGGTATTTTTTTTCCTCCAATTTAATTTAATTCCACATGACATACGACATTTTTCAGCTTTTTGACTTTAATAGATAATTTTTACACGGTTGTATTACGTAGGTGACCTTGTGTATTTTATATTTTAGTAATACATATTAATTTTATAATATGAATAATGATGTAAATGAAATAAAATCAGTGGCCTGAATTCTAGAGGGAGAGTCTATGCTTCAATTTACAACGGACAAATTTTAGTCGTACATGTTGGATGTTATATGTTATATGTATATATTGAAGTTACCAGCACGCCCGCTGGCGATGTACGCTCCGTGTAATTTGCCATGGAAATCGCTTGCAATATTCTCTTGTAACGGGCATGAAAGCTTCAGGCGAGTCGAGCTTTCTACCTATTAGTTGTGATCGTGAGTGTGTTCAATGCTTTTGTTTTCAGATTATTTTTCGTGTAGTGTATTTAACTTTTATTTTATTAGAGCGATGATATCGGAATCAAAGCTTTAAACATGAAGCTTTTGCACTGAAAAATGAATTTTATTGACACTACTGGATACATCCGAATTTTATATAAAAAAGAATGAGCGCTCTAGATAAAAAATAAAAACGAACGATCATCGCCGTCAATATTGGATTTGTCAAAAAAATTGTAACAATTTTTTGACATTGTTTCATTATTAATTCATATACATACCTGACAAAAATCAAATATTATATTTTAAAATAAATTTATTAACATTAATTTCAACTGAATTTTAGTAAAAATTTTCATCCTGTAAATTTTTGTAATTTTTGATTTTGATTTTAATATTTGATTTAGCAAATAACGTAAAAAAAAAAAACATTATTGTCACAAAATTTTTTTCCCTATTTCAGAACACCCAGATGGCCTTGGGCCTTTGGATAAGCAACGATATAATACATCGCGCGTGTATCCTAGATCATATAGAACAGTAGGCGCGATAAGAGCACGTGGGATTTCGATTAGTGCAGCTCTATGTTCTCGAGAGGTTATCGAAGTCTGCGTAATTCGCTCGGATTATTCTGGACATGCTTCATAACCATATTTGTTTAATCTCCCTCGGTTTTTCTTGCTCTTCACCCCCTTGTTCCCTTACTAAGCAATTCTGTACTATACTATCCCAAACTATACTATGCCTATGCTCTCTTTGTTCTAATCCAGCGACACGCATTGTTCGAGACTATCCGCCGTGGATTTATCTGCGAACATACATGGATATTTACACAAATAGCGTATAATGATTGAGTAATTACACCTGCAGTCGGCTTCGTATGATCATCGATTAGATCCCTAATTAATTTATTATACACTATATTTAAACCCTATTCTAGATTCAGATTGAAATGAATGTTTTATTTTAAAACTTGCTGACCCGATAAACAATCGTCCTGTCCGAATCTAATGACTTTTTTTTAATCAATGCAATGAATTGATTGGATTTTTAAAAACCGCACCGGATCTCATCCAATCTGATAATCTCAGAATTGAACAATTGTAACTGTGTTTTAATTTTACCTGAAATTCGTTCTTGTTTAAATTTTTTTCACAACCATCCAGATGTTTTTCTTCTTTCAATTGGAAAGAAAAATGTAAATTTCATGATTTTGGCAGTTTGTAAAAATTTGTTCCATTTTCTTTCGGAATTCTTCTTAAAAAAATATTTTTTTAGATTGTAACAAATAAAAAAACTTATATTAAGAATTATACATTACATGTTCTTTCTTTTAAGAAGTACAAATAATACTTGGAGTTTTTTCCAAATTTACTAATTTTTTAGATGACTTTTATTAACAATAAAATTTAATTTTTATTAAAAAACAAAATATAAAATAGATAGGTTATTTAATTTTAGATTATGCAATTTAACTTTATCAAAATTTTCATACTTTCTGCTTAACTTAACTATTATAAAATTAATTGAAGGTAACAGTATTCAATTAAATTATAATTTGAAATATGCATGAAGTACGAACTTCAATTTTGTTGATGTAATGTAAGCAAAGTTAATACATATTTCATTTAATGTTAAAGAGGAATAAGAAATATAAGTTAAAGTAAATACACTACTGGCTGCTAAAATTTGTTGTAAATTAAATTTCAAACGTCAATATTTTTGTTGCCTTTGAATAAAATCTTGTATAAAGTGTCACACTCCTCTTTGGTTGGTTACTTTTTGCTTCTGTATACACTAATATATATATATATATATATATAATATATATATATATATATATATATATATATATATATATATATAATAAATATAAGGTACTGCAAACGCCGACACACTAACACCAACATCAAGAACGACAGAAGCGATATTAATGCTATGAAAATGAGATTTAAACTTCACCACAGTTCAAAGTGACTCTGTCCTTTTTAGAAACTGCATCACCAGTACTGTCCTCTCTATTTACTGCCCGTGCAATTACATATATATGTATCCTTCACAGCTCTTTGCGCGAGTGCCGTATATTACTTGTTTAATAAGTGATGATTTAATTTCAAAAGTTAATCATATTAATCGGCTTTTGCTCTACACTCTACTCTATACGATAAAGCACTTTTACTGAGAAAATCCGCTCTCATTTATTACGTTACATTACTTTGTACCCAGTTTTTATACTCTCTATCTTCAAAGTACTCTTAATTTATATTTTTAATAAATTTAAATAATTTTTAACGTATACTCAGTAAATAAAAAATTCTTTTTATTTGTTTGCGTTCTATGAAAACGTTTAAAATTTTTAATTTTTTTCAAAATTAAAGTACGCAAAAAAATCACTTCGATCAGTGAATTTTTAATGCTCTATTACAAAAAAAAAAAAAAAAAAAAAAAAAAAAAAAAAATAACAGTAAAATAAAAATCAGATGAATTTAACTCGAGCGCTCAAGCAAAAAGTGAAGTGCATTTATAATTACAGTTTTAAAAGTTGAATTTATTAAAAAACAAAGCCCGTGAATTTGGTTAAATGAGCGTGTATACAGGATAAAGGGGATTAAGAGGAAAAAGTTCAAAGTTAAAGAGAAGGAAGGTAAACGGGAACAAGTATTTTTCACCACATATTCTTTGAAATGAAAGTTGTATAGTGGTAGCGCACATGAGAACACTATCTAACTCCTGTGAAATTGCTTCTCCCCTTTCCTGTTTTTCTCCCTCTGCCTGTTTCCCTGCGGAGTCTCATCCCTCTCATCTCTTCTTGATTCTCCTGGTGTAGCTTAATCTGGTCTACGTGAGCCTGACTTGAGTTCTGTTGCCATGCGCTGCACTTACACTACTCAACTCTAGACTCTAGACTCTGATCGCCCAAAGTGCAACCCCTAGCACGTTTCTCCAATAGTTTCGGTTTATTTAAAATTATGCGAACTAGACTTTATCTAATATTTTCAGGGTCTATTCATATATCTACAAGGCTTATCTGTGTACTTTGTAAATTTATTATAATAATGTATATGCATATCGATATACTCATATATTATATACTTAACCGAGCGGAGGATAGAATAAAGTATAAAAGTTCACTTCTTTACCTCTATAAACATTGGCTTAATGCAAAAATACATATTTATCTTTCACCAATATATTTATACTAAGATAAATGAGGTGAGAGACCAAACTCGGGTATGTGGTCTCAGTTGTAAGCGACAGAAAAGTTAATGATATCGTTATCGCAACCTCTTCTTATTCAATTCTCAAAACTATTGCCGCTCGTAATTCCAATCGAGTTACGCGTCGGTTAAAAGAACCACCGACCCAAATTCTCCGGAGAAAAACCAGACTAGACTATCAAAAGAAAACATGTATGTTACGTAGACTGTATGTGTGTGAATTTCTCTGGAAACGGTGCACGGGAATAAAAATGGGCGAGTAAAAAAATAAAGAAAAATGAAAAGAATAAAAAAGCTCCCACGTGTTCTTCTCTGGAGTTTCATAATACTTTTATGGAGGCCATCACCCCTGAGAATGTTTTGAAACGTCAAGGAAACAGACTGTATTCTCTCTTTTTTTACTATAAAAAACTTTTTTTACGCATAAAATACTCTTTTGTTTAATTAATAGAGCTTTAAAATTACTTGTAACATTTTAATTGTTTTTTTTTTTTGCATTTGTTTTACTGAAAAGCTGATTTAACCAATTTTTGATCTGCAGATGGTTCAAAAATTTTTTTATGTTATAGAAAAAATATCAACTGGTTAATTTTTTTTATATAAACTTTAATTTTAGTTATTAAGGATAATTGTAAATGATCGTACCTTTTGCTGCGAATTTGTTAAAAGAAAACTTTAAAAAAGAAAATAAAAATTTGTAAAACTTATAATAGGCTTTTGAAGTTTCTGATAGAAGTAATTTTAATAATAAATTGAGTTTAATAAATTTAGATTAAATTAAAGTAGGATAATGTAAATTTTTTTGATAAATGGCCGTTGGTGAATTTTGAATATAAAATATATATAGAGCAGAATGAAGCATCAGGGAGTAAAGGCCGGTGCTTTTGGTGATGGTAGCGGTTGAAGCCGATACAGAAACTCAGGAGTTATGCTGGTGGTTGCCAAGAAACTTTTGGAATAATAACCTTCGAACCTCAAGGCACCAAAAGCCTTATACAGTATTCCGAGTCATACGAAAGTTATATCGTTTGAAATAATGCTGATTTATAAATGAGATATCATACGTAATATCTTCTAAATCACGTTCTATGCTCCAATAAAGTTCAATGTATATCGCTAATGACACTTGTACAATAAAATTTCATTCATTCTTTTATAATTGTTGAATCGTATATAATTAATACTTTATCTATTTATTAATTAAAGTATCAACAGTTCATTGCGCTGTGCTGAAATATCCAACGTATTGAAGCTTTTATTTGTTTGATATAGTATTAGCTTTGTTCAGTGATCACAATAGCGCGATGTGCATTCAAGACTTTGTTTGTTTTGTGTCTTTTAAATATGTACTCAATAATAAATAATTAAGTATATAAAATATTAAAAGAATTAACTCATTAATTATTATTCAAAAAAAAAAATCTTAAAGGAAGAAAATCATTTTAAAGATTTTGATAATCTTGAATTAAAAGCAGATTTCTTCAGTTAAGAAATTTTTTCTTCATTAAAGTAAATTTTACTTGATTCAAGAGTTTTCATTTCCCCTTACACTAAGTTAATTTTTAATCAGTACAATAGCCATTGTTTCAAAAAAGCTCTTAGCTTTTGAAGAATTTTATATCTCTGAAAGCTTTTATAATTATATTATCAATTTAATTAAAGTATAAACGTAATAAACTTATTTTTAAATTCAATATAAAGAAGAAAAGAAACTTTATTCTAAAATATTAGTAAAGATAATCTTATTGCTTTCAAAGATATTTTAATTATACCTATAACAGTATTATGAACCGGTGCTTCTACCCTATCAGATAATTAAAGTTAGTACACGAAGTCTCAAAGGTATAAAATGAGTAGAGTTACAAATGTATCGGATTACAAGGGCCACGAAAGTGTACTGAATTTTTATTTCAAGAATAGACGTGAATGTGATTTAAAATTGATAAAAAATAGATTATTTTAATTTTAATTTTTAATTTTAATGTCAATTTAAAAAAAAACTAGTATACGTTGCGCGCGCAAGCGCGCGTGTGAATGTTGGTATGGAATTATCTATATTTTCATGCTTATGATATATTTGACCAATCACGTTACGAATAGTTTGCTTTTACATGATATATTTTTATATTTTTCATCTAAATTATAAGAGTGGACTAGAATTTAATTTTCGCGCGCAAGCGCGCGCGTCATATTTATTGTCATGATATATTTATGTGTCGTTTATGTATATTATATTCACTTTCAACCAATCAGAATGAGAATAAATATTTTCAACCAATCACATCACGAATAAATTGGTTTCACATATATTTCATCTCAATTTTATTATGGGATCCTTTTACACGCCCTGATAGTTTTTGGGGTAAGTGCTGGAAGTAATTACAGCTTTTTTTGGTAGTTTAAAATTATTTTAATGAATAATTTTGAATTAATTAAGGAAATAATTTATCAAGACCGGATCTTAAATAGAAAAAAGTGCAAGTCATAGAAGTAAATAAATTTATAAAGTACCTTGATGTAAGCATCTCATCAATCTGCTAACGGTGAGCGGAGTTCCCTTATTACAAGCAGCCCGATGTAGTTCACAGTGATTTGCATAAACTTTTCCGTCGCTTCCGCAAACAGGCCTGTGTCGTATCCCGCATTTTTTAATGCAGACACACAAAGCAACACCTCCGTCAGGCGAGAGTCGGCATTTCCTTCCGGCACCGCAGTATTTATCAAGACACGGATCTGAAACACAGATAAACACCCCATAATTTAAAATTTATTGAATGTTTGTATTGATATTTAAAATACCAAAAAGTAAAAATTGGAATTTAATTCTTGTATATGGCATATGGCTCGAATGCTACAACGTGGTCGGAATTATCGGGGATGCGAAAAAATCGAGAAAAGTAGGCGAAACGATATTTCGATTTGGCAGGGATGTATTTTTCACGATAAAATACGATACGAATAGAAACCGAGTAGAAATCGGTGATAGAAGGAGTGGACGGAGTTGAAACGGTTCTTGGGTATTGTATTATAGATAGAATATAGTGCCGATATAAATGGTGTATAAGGGAATCTGTAGGCAAGACTGCCAGAAGTCCAGGTCACAGAGTCGATATCTATGCTAATATCTTTCAAGTCTGATATTGAATTCGTAATCGTCCAGTGACTACCAGATGTCTCGATCCTTCAGTATCTTTTCTTATCAACTCGCTATTACTTACACCACCTCTGCCACAGATATTTCTGATTCCGATTACGATACTCAGAAAATTTATTTCATACGTTTCACTGACATTTAATTAATTCATTTTTCATCATTTTTTTTCAATTTTTCTTTTTTTTTTAAGTTCAGTGACAGGGTTGAATTTTTTATTGATGCTTCTATTATTCAACTGGTGGAAGACGAGCTTTGTTTTGTTTATAAATTTATTTCATATTGAAAAATAAAAATTTTTTATGCTTACACCGTCGCGGGTTTTATACTACTTACGTGTGATTTTCTTTCGTAAGCAAGGTTGCAAAATATTTAATTAATTTTACACTTTTTATTGAAATAAAATTAACTATTATAATTTATTAATTTATTTTTTTTTTATTTGTTTTATTTTTTAAATTAATAATATAAAAAATTTAATTAAAGCATTTTGAGGAAATTAAAAATTTAAATTAATTAATTCTTACATTTTTCAAAAAATAATAATTTAAAAAAAATTAATGCATTTTTCATGAAATTAAAAATTAAATCGAAAATAAATGAATAATTTTGTCAGAGTATATTTAATTTTAAATTGAATTTTATTAGAATTTGAAAGAATTGTAAAAATATATTTATCGATCTATGTAAGATTAAAATGAGATGTTATTGAAGTGTGAGTATTTATATACAAGGTATATTGGTGTATTTAAAATTGCGGTTTTGCAATTACGGAAATCGATAGAGATATGTACGGTATTTATATCGAATAGTGTGTTTATATCTATCTATCTATAAATTTAAGCTATCAATATGTACTAAAGTTATTGAGCAACTCAGGCGTTTACTAGTACACACATGCTTTGTGGTTTGTTGCAATGATAGATCTTCTGTATACAGTATACAGTATATCGTATCCTTCAACAGCGATTGGAAACTTGTGAATTCCGTGCGGTTTACACAGTGAATCCCAATGTGGTGCAAACGTTTAATTGCACCTACTAAAAATAAATATATTTTTATGAACAAATATCCATGGCATGCACATGATCTCATGATTTCATCGATTTAATATTTCTCTTGGGAATATTGTATGTATATTTCCATTGCATTGTTTACCTGAAATAAATCTATTCAAATGTAAAATCGTCATGTAAAATATTTACTTAATTTTCATTATAAAATGTTTATTTACGTTTGGTGAAAATATAGCTATTTTTTTAAAATAAAAATTCTAAATAAATATTAAATTATTGGACAAATATTACGAGAAAAATGTTTTTTTTTTATTTTAAGAGATAATCTTGTTTTTTATGATTAAAATTGTTTGCAATTTTTTAATTGGCTAATTAAGGAAAAAATTTATCAGTAATTTATCATTCAATAAAAATTTTATTTTTTCCGTTTAATCATCTGTTAAATATATTTTTATTAATTATCGATAATTTTTACTTGGTATTATTTTTTTAAATTATCAGTACGTTGTTAATATTTACAATATATTTTTAAATACTGGGGTATATATAAACCTTGTACAATTAAAAAATTGTCAACATAAATTGAGAAATCGGTGGTCAAAATGAAAAAATAAAAATGACGCAATTACTGTCTCCAAAAATACTTTTCTTTATTTCTTTATTTGTTGTCTGTAAGTATTTTGGATAATAATTATTTTGATTCAAAGAAGAAAAAATTAATTTTTCAAGTAAAAGATTTTTCAAAGAATAAAATTATTCTATTATTTAATAATTATTAATTTTAGTTGTTTGTGTTTCCTCACATAATGTCTCATGCGGTAAAAATGAAATGGTTAACAAATGTGGAGTAAATTGTGATCCTTTGTGTTCAGACACAGGACCAAAAGCGTGTCCAGATGTGCGTCCAATAATTAATTACATATAATCTTTAATTTGATAATTAATTTAGTATATAGTCATAAATATGTACTTTAATTTTACAGATATGTAGACGGGATATGCCAGTTTGTGTTTGCAAACCTTATTTAGTGAGGAATAAAGATAAGAAGTGTGTTAAAAAAAGCGCCTGTCCTCGATCATAGAAAGCAATACCAATTATAATCAATGTTTGTTAATTATTTTTCTGATGTAATAAATATAATATTGAGAATATGCACATGAATTCATTGATTCAACATTTATCCTGAAAATATTAAATACACATGTTCAAAATATTGTTTGCTTGAAATAAATCCTTGTAATAATTCGCTTAATTGTAAGATTGCGCGGTTAAATATTTACATGACTTCTTTTTTGATAATACTGTTTTTTATTTTTTAAGAGAAATTATCAATTTTGAAAAGAACATGTTACGTAAACATGAATTAATATAAAATTATCACGTAAATATTACTTTAAAAATATATCATTATTTGAAGAGATACTAATTGATGTATGCAATTTTTTAAATGTCAAATTAAAGTAAAAAATAATTCAACAGTAATTTCTTATTTAAATAAATATTCGTTTGATCTTATCTGTTTTTCAATTATTTTTTTTTCACCAGCTTGTGAATGCATGAGTGACACCGTAAAAAATAAACAGACGTAAGGTTGAGTAAAGAGAAGCAACTGTTCTAACAAATAGAAAGTACTACCAATTATTATCAATTTTTGAAAACAATTTTTCTGATGCAATAAGATGAATAAATATCACCGTAATAATTATTTCATTGTTAAAAAATAATTATCGTAAGTTTTTGATGATTAAAAATTGTAAGCTTCTTGTAAATATTAATACTCAAAATGAAAACAGTAGAATAAAATTAAAACCGTGCTTACCATAGTTAAAATCTGTAAATACTAAAGATAGTTTTTGAATAATTAAACAATGTTAAACTTTTGATCTAATGCTAGTTACTTTGAAACTACGTTATAGTTTTCGAGTTTCATGACCCGCATTACCGTTATCTTTTATTTGTTCGTAGTACTTTGAGGGTTTGCATAAAACAACCACATTAAAATCCAAAGAAGCTTGAAAACTACTTGAAAATAAAGGAATACAAGTTCATGATCACAACTATTTTTTTTTTTTTTAATTATAAAGTTACATAGTAACAATTAAAAATTTTGATTGCTTCTTGTAATATTGCTAGTCTAGTTTATAACTTACGATGAATTTTCGTTCGAAAACTATTATATTTAAGAACAGAGCAATCCGGAGAAGGTTCACGGAAACAGAAGATTATTAACCTTTAGAGCAATGTAATTCTGAAGCAACCGACATGGGAATAATATTCTAGAAGATTAAACGGCAGCCCAATTTCAAAACCTACTAGAACTAATTTTTACTTTATGTTTAATTGCTTTTTCATTAAAAAAACGTTAACAATCTGAGTTTAGCAAAAAGGATTGTGTGTTTATCGACAAAACATTATTCTCTATAAAAATCGCTAATATTTCCATAAAATTTAATTTCATTTATTAAATCAAATATATTTAAATAAAATAAAGTAATTTTTCAAGATAGTAATAAAACAATTAATGATTCAACAAATTGATATGTATACGTCAATTTAATATACATTTTTATAAAATTGATTAAAGCTCCAATTAAAATTATACTATGAAATGAAATAGTCATTAAAATGTAAACAATTAATTCTAATAAGTTTCATTATCAAATATTTAATTGGTAAATGAATACAAAATTCAATACTAAATATATTAATATAAAGAGTATAATAAACAACATTCAATTTCAATTCAATAGAATAAAAACTTTTTCGTATTATTGATTACAATTAAAATTTGAAGTTTTTCCGCTATCCATATTATTATTGAGAATCCCTCATATTTATAGATATTTCCACTTTTCATTTTATGCATTGACAATGACAAGTAATCTCATGTAAGCGCTTTTCAAAGGTTATTTATTTTGAATTAAGTCATATTGTAACACACCAACAGTATAACTTCACAAAAAACTGTTACAATGCCAAATTTTTTATCAGCAAAACTGTTAGTGATTTTTCTACTCTTTGTTTGTAATCATACATTCCGTAAAATTAAACATTGAGTTTATTTGTAAGATAAATATAAATATAATATAAAGCTTATAATTTTTTAAGACATGTTGATAAATGTTCTAGGTCATGTGAGACTAACAAAACGTGCTCAGAATGCAGATCATTGTGCGCAGGTACTTAGAAATAAATAGCAGGGCACACAGTCTGGAAGTATGTTTTAATTATCAATATATTTTCTTTTTTTATGATTTCAACACATTTTTTACTGAACTTTGTCTTATTATTCAAGCATAAATAAGGAAAAACTATATTATACAGAGTTCAATCAGATACGGCTGTCATAAGTTTATCTTTATTTTTTTTTTTTTTTTAGTAAAATAAATAAATAATCAAAATGAAAATCATCTTAAATTATGTAACTTTCCAATTTGATTTTGTTTACTTATTTAACAAGCTTCATTATATAAAATTCATAGTTATTGATTGATAGAACTCGAAGTTAAACTATCTTAACTTAAGAAACTGACGTCAAATCGATTTAAAAGCAAACATGTCTCGAGTTATACTAATCAGCATTTTCCTTATCGTTTCTTTGGTAGCTTGTAAGTAATAAATGAATAATCAATAAATATAACAATTTATTGATGAATTTGACTGTTAAAAAAGGTACTTATGCACAAGAGTCTTTATCATGTAGAGAAAATGAAGAGTTTTATCCGTGCGGTACTTGTGACAGCCGGTGTTTCCTTGAAATTAATTGTTTGAGGGTATGTATTTTAGAACTTTTATATCATGTACATCGATTGTTGATTAATTTTATTTTTTTATTCTAGACAATGTGTACAGAAACAAACAAAGGATCATGTGGATGTAAATCTGGATATGTGAGAAATGATCAACATAAATGTATTCATCGCAGTGAATGTGATTCTTCCATTTTTAAATTGGGAAAATAGAGACGCAATTTAATGGTACATGATTGGATTGTTGACTGTTAATTAAAATAATTAGCTGGGAAATACGAACTGAAAATTTCAATTGTGCAGACATATTATTAAATGTTTAAAAAAATTTGATTATATAAATTTAATTTATCGTATTTTTATAATAAATACAAAAATTTCTAAATGTATATCGTTAGAAAAAAATAAAAACATCACTACTAGAGCGATATTTTTTTCCCTGTAAGTCAAGCATAATAATTACAAAAAGTTCAATCTTATCACATTAATGTCACAAGCCTGCAACAAGTTTATCCTAACATTACTTTTTATAACAATACAGATCAATAAAATGAGTAATGGAGTGATTAAATCTAGAATATGTGTATTCATCAATAGTTAGTTATATACAGTAATGATAGAAACTTATGTAACTTTCCCACTTGTTATTTGTCGCTTAACTAGCAAATACGAGTATAAAAGAATCCTAGAACTGTTGATTTATCAGACTCGAAGTTCAAGTATCATAAGAAACTGACGTCAAATCGATTTAAGGGCAAACATGTCTCGAGTTACACTAATTAGCATTTTCCTTATTGTTTCTTTTGTTGTTTGTAAGTAATCAGTAAAATTGATAAATAATATTTAATCAATGTTTTCGATTTCTTTGAAAGGTACTCATGCGCAAGATTTTCCGTGTCCTGGAGAAAATGAAGAGTTTCACGGATGTGGAGCTTGTGACAGCACCTGCAAATCAGATATATCTTGTACAATGGTACGTATATCAATAAAAGATTGTTACACGTATATAAATAACTTTGCTTAATGAATTTGATCCTTAAATTCACATTTTGAAACAAACATGATTTTATAATGGATCTATTTTGAATATATTTTTAATTTCTTACAAAAATGTATGGAATGAAAAAAGTAAGCTGAATTTAATGATTTTTCCATTGTAGTAATTCTTAATAAATTAATTACATGTTTTTCGTACTTTAAAAGGAGTGTAGAAGCGGATCATGTGGATGTAAATTTGGATACGTGAGGAATGAGCAAAACAAATGTGTTCATCGCCATGAGTGTCATTCTCCCATTTCAAGATTGGGAAAATAATTTCATAAAACATGTCAATTGGATTTTTTATTGTTAATTGAAATATAGACTATGAGTTAATATACGCTATTAACTAAAAAATAAATAATACCAAAATTACCGATGTTTAATTAATAACTTGGTGTTTTTTTAATAATTTTTTCTTGACCTTAAATATATTTCCAATTAATCAATCTTGTTTTTTCTTTCGCTGCAATTTCTCGTAGCATATATGGAATAATTATTAAAAATATCTGAACCGAATGATTAAATTTAATATATTTAAATTCCGAGCAGATAAATGTTTGTTCAAGAAAATAAATTATTCGAGGAAAGTCCAAAGGTTGTTATTTGAGCAGATATTTTTTTTAACTTAAATTATTCTTATTTATAGAATTGATTAAAATTTTTTATTTAAATGTATACAGAAAACATGCAAGACGCATATTTTGATTTGCATAAAAATATTATGAAAACCTTGTCCTCGTTGTGTTAAAATCAATCAAAAATTTTCTCATAAAGACCTTGATAAAAATACAAAATATTTATTTTGGTATGATAAATATGAATAATTGTATTATTTTTAGCACAAATTGAGCTAAAAATAATTGGTTTACTTTAAAAAGACTAATGTATAAGACTTTCGAAATCGAGGTGTTTTATTAGGTTTATTCGCAAGTTCACACAAGTGTTTTCAAAAGGATAATAATCATGGTTCAATTTTTATTGATCACTGTTTTACAAGTTATTCGTAAGAAGTTTATTATTAATTATTTATTTGAATATTTTTTAACTTCTAGCTTTGGATATTTAATGGTATGCATTTACAGATCATAAAGCTGCGCCTAGCTAACCGTGCGGTCAATATGAAATATATTTTGAATGCGAACAAATCCATGTGAACAAAAATGTGGAAAAAAACCAATGATATGTGTATCGAAGTAAGCCGATTAAAAACCTTGAATTCAGTTGATGTTGATGATAATTTACTAACTTTATAAATTTCAAAGCAGTGTAAAGTAAAAGACGAGGGCGTTACGGATGTAAAACCAGCTACGTTAGAGACATCGACAAGAAGTTCAAACTTAAGTCAGAATGTCTTGAGCAATAATATGATACAATATTAATTTTATATAGAACATACTCATTGTTTATTGCTACTGTCAATCATTGTGCCTATTGATTTTTATTAAATAAATAAATTTTTCCGTTTCAATAATAATGAATATTTTTTAATCTCAAAAATTTTATCTTTCCTGATTAATAAAACATACCGTATTATTAATTTTTATTGATATTATTCGCAAGCTCGATGTTTTGATATTTATAAAAATATTTTGGAAAAATTATCTTTGAATGAGCCTTAATAAAAATACAATATATTTATTTAACTTGTAACCAAACAGGATAAAACTCAATAGGAAGGAAAATTCAGTGGTTGATTTCGGCTAATGTCAATAACGATTTTATCTTTTACATAAATTAAGCTGGTAATAATTAATTTGCTTTAAACCAATTGGTATATAAGACTCTTGAATTCGAGTTGATTCGTCATACTTTTTCGGAATTTCGCACACGTCATATCGAGTTTTAAATCATGGCTCGATTTTTATTGATCAGCCTTGTACTCGTAGCTGCTCTGATTGTTGGTAAGAAATTTATCATTATCTGTTCTAATATTCACTAATTCATGTTTGGGATGTTTAAAAAAAAATAGACCCTTAAATAAATAGAGAAGAAAATTATTTTGTTTCAAAAAAAAATTTTACTTAAGAGTGTTTTAATCGTTCTCATTGATTTTCTCTTTTTTTAAGTAAGTCTTTTATCTGATTACAGGTACCAATGCTTCCAATTGCCAAAAATGCAAAGGCAAAAATGAAGAGTGGAAAAGTTGCGGAGCATGTGACAGTACTTGTAGAAATAAACACGTTGTCTGTCCCAAGGTAAGTTAATTAACAACTATGATCAAAATAAACAATAACTATCGCTAATTGATATTGTAAGTTAGTAAATTATTAAATTTAAAAGATATGCAAGCAACCCGGATCTTGTGGCTGCAAAACTGGTTATGTAAGAAATTCCAGAAGAATCTGTATCAAGGAAAAAAATTGTCCCAAACCTAGGATTTGTGGAAAAAATGAAGTGTTTTACCGATGCGGAGCATGCGACCAGGGATGTAATTATTTAGCTAAATGTTCCACGGTGAGTTAATGAACTAAATTTTTTAAAAATATTCTTGTTAATTATAATAATGCAATTTTTTTTATTCTTCAGAAGTGTAGAAAAGGATCTTGTGGTTGTAAAAAAGGTTATGTAAGAAATGAAAATAAAATCTGTATCAAGAAGCAAAATTGTCCCAAGGTTTGTGGAATAAATGAAGAGTACATGCCATGCGGAGCATGCGACCAGGGGTGTGACTACGCAGTCGAATGTATCCAAGTGAGTTTATAAATTAGACACTTATTTTTAGAGATATCGTAGCTGTAAATTATAATTACACATTATTTTTTACTTGTCAGGGGTGTAGAGAAGGAGCTTGTGGTTGTAAATCCGGTTACCTAAGGAGTAATGGTACCTGTGTTTTGTCGGAAAATTGTCCTAAAACTCCGACTTGTGGGCCAAATCAAGAGATCAAACATTGTGGAGCGTGTGACGGTACTTGTAAAGTACCAAATCCAGCCTGTACTTTTGTGAGTTTTATTAATTTAGTAAATTGATAATAATAAAAAAAATAAATTGATTGGCAGTAAATTTTACGTATTAATTATTTTGTAGGATTGCCGTCCACCCGAATGTGGTTGTATAAAGGGGTACGTGAAAAGTAGTGGTAAGTGTATTTTGTTGAAAAATTGTCCTAAAACCCCGACTTGTGGGCCAAATGAAGAACTCAAAGGATGTGGAGCATGTGACGGCACTTGTGGAGAAAAAGATGTGATATGTACCGCGGTAAGTTTCATTAATTTACTAGAATTTATATTAGTAAAAAAATAAATTGATTGGTAGTAAATTTTACTTATTAATTATTTTGTAGGACTGTCGTCCACCTGAATGTGGTTGTAAATCCGGTTATGTAAGAAGTAATGGTAAGTGCATTTTGTATGAAAAATGCCCTAAACCCCCGACTTGTGGGCCAAATGAAGAGATAAAAGAATGTGGAGCATGTGATGGTACTTGTAAAAAAAAAGATGTGGCCTGTACCTTGGTGAGTTTAATTAGTTTAATAAATTGTTAACTGTTAAGATATAAATCTATTGGTACTCAACTTTATATATTAATTATTTTCCAGCAATGTCGTCAACCCGAATGTGGATGTAAATCCGGTTATGTAAGAAGTAATGGTAAGTGCATTTTGTACGAAAAATGTCCTAACACCCCGACTTGTGGGCCAAATGAAGAGATGAAAGAATGTGGAGCGTGTGATGGTACTTGTAAAGAAAAAGATGTGGCCTGTACCTTGGTGAGTTTAATTAATTTGATAAATTGTTAACTGTTAAAATATAAATCTATTGGTAATCAACTTCAAATATTAATTATTTTTCAGCAATGTCGTCAACCCGAATGTGGTTGTAAATCCGGTTATGTAAGGAATAATGGTATCTGTATTTTGTACGAAAAATGTCCTAAAACCCCCACTTGTGGCCCAAATGAAGAGATCAAACATTGTGGAGCGTGTGACGGTACTTGTAAAAACCCAAGTCCAGCGTGTACCAAGGTGACTTTTATTGATTTAATTAATTGTTAACAGTGAAAATATATATCCGTTGATATTAAATTTTATATACTAATTATTTTCTAGGAATGTCGCCCACCCGAATGTGGTTGTATGAAGGGGTATGTGAAAAATAATGGCAAGTGTATTTTGTTGAAAAGTTGTCCTAAAACACCGACTTGTGGGCCAAATGAAGAACTTAAAGAATGTGGAGCGTGTGACGGTACTTGTGGACAAAAAGATGTATCCTGTACCTTGGTGAGTTTCATTAATTTGATAAATTGTTAACTGTTAAAATAATACATCAATAATACTATTGGTACTCAACTTTACATATTAATTATTTTCTAGCAATGTCGTGAACCCGAATGTGGTTGTAAATCCGGTTATGTAAGGAATAATGGTACCTGTATTTTGTATAAAAGTTGTCCTAAAAACCCGATTTGTGGACAAAATGAAGAGTTTTACCCATGCGGATCATGCGACCAGGGATGTAACTACGCAGCCAGATGTACCTCGGTGACTTAATGAACTAAATTTTTTTTTTAAATATTGTTGTTAATTATAATAATAATATAATTTTTTTTATTCTTCAGGAGTGTAGAAAAGGATCTTGTGGTTGTAAAAAAGGCTATGTAAGAAATGACAAGAGAATCTGTATCCCGCAGAAAAGTTGTCCCAAGGCTTGTGGAATAAATGAAGAGTACATGCCATGCGGAGCATGCGACCAGGGGTGTGACTACGCAGTCGACTGTATCCAAGTGAGTTTATCAATTAGACACTTACTTTTAGGGATATCGTAGCTGTAAATTACAATTACATTATATTGTTTATTTGTTAGGGGTGTAGAAAAGGAGCTTGTGGTTGTAAGTCCGGTTACGTAAGGAGTAATGGTACCTGTATTTTGTCGGAAGATTGTCCTCAAAGTCCAAGTTGTGGACAATATGAAGAACTCAAACCTTGCGGAGCATGTGACGGTACTTGTAAAGAACCAAGTGTAGCGTGTACCGCGGTGAGTTTCATTAATTTAATTAATTGTAAATAGTGATAATATATATCCGTTGATATTAGATTTTACATACTAATTATTTCCTAGGAATGTCGTCAACCAGAATGTGGTTGTATGAAGGGGTACGTAAGAAATAATGGAAAGTGTATTTTGTTGAAAAATTGTCCTAAACCTCCGACTTGTGGGCCAAATCAAGAGATCAAACATTGTGGAGCGTGTGACGGTACTTGTAAAGTACCAAATCCAGCCTGTACTTTTGTGAGTTTTATTAATTTAGTAAATTGATAATAATAAAAAAAATAAATTGATTGGCAGTAAATTTTACGTATTAATTATTTTGTAGGATTGCCGTCCACCCGAATGTGGTTGTATAAAGGGGTACGTGAAAAGTAGTGGTAAGTGTATTTTGTTGAAAAATTGTCCTAAAACCCCGACTTGTGGGCCAAATGAAGAAATCAAAGGATGTGGAGCGTGTGACGGTACTTGCGGAGAAAAAGATGTGATATGTACCGCGGTAAGTTTCATTAATTTACTAGAATTTATAATAGTAAAAAAATAAATAAATTGGTAGTAAATTTTACGTATTAATTATTTTGTAGGACTGTCGTCCACCCGAATGTGGTTGTAAATCCGGTTATGTAAGGAATAATGGTACCTGTATTTTGTACAAAAGTTGTCCTAAAACCCCGATTTGCGGGCCAAATGAAGTACTCAGACCTTGCGGAGCGTGTGACGGTACTTGTAAAGAAAAAGATGTGGCCTGTACCTTGGTGAGTTTAATTAATTTGGAAAATTGTTAACTGATAAAATATAAATCTATTGGTACTCAACTTTGCATATTAATTATTTTCCAGCAATGTCGTCAACCCGAATGTGGTTGTAAATCCGGTTATGTAAGAAGTAATGGTAAGTGCATTTTGTACGAAAAATGTCCTAAAACCCCGACTTGTGGGCCAAATGAAGAGATGAAAGAATGTGGAGCTTGTGACGGTACTTGTAAAGAAAAAGATGTCGCCTGTACCTTGGTGAGTTTAATTAATTTGGTAAATTGTTAACTGTTGAAATATAAATCTACTGGCATTCAACTTCAAATATTAATTTTTTTTCAGCAATGTCGTCAACCCGAATGTGGTTGTAAATCCGGTTATGTAAGAAGTAATGGTAAGTGCATTTTGTATGAAAAATGCCCTAAACCCCCGACTTGTGGGCCAAATGAAGAGATAAAAGAATGTGGAGCATGTGATGGTACTTGTAAAGAAAAAGATGTGGCCTGTACCTTGGTGAGTTTAATTAGTTTGATAAATTGTTAACTGTTAAGATATAAATCTATTGGTACTCAACTTTATATATTAATTATTTTTCAGCAATGTCGTGAACCCGAATGTGGTTGTAAATCCGGTTATGTAAGAAATAATGGTAAGTGCATTTTGTACAACAAATGTCCTAAAACCCCGACTTGTGGGCCAAATGAAGAGATAAAAGTATGTGGAGCATGTGACAATACTTGTGAGGAAAGAAATATGATGTGTACCATGGTGAGTTTCATTAATTTTATAAATTGATAACACTAAAAATATAAATCTATTGGTATTTAACTTTACATATGATTATTCCCTAGGACTGTCGTCCACCCGAATGTGGTTGTATGAAGGGTTACGTAAGAAATAATAGTACCTGTATTTCACCGGATTGTTGTCCGGAAAATTCGACTTGTGGGCTATATGAAGAACTCAAACCTTGCGGAGCGTGTGATGGTACTTGTAAAAAACCACATCCGATATGTACTAAGGTGAGTTTCATTAATTAAATGAATTTTTAATAGTGAAAATATAAATTTATTGGTATTAAATTCTACATATTCATTATTTTTTAGATATGTCGTCCACCTCAATGTGGTTGTATGAAGGGCTACGTTAGAAACAACAAAATGTGTGTGCCTATGTCAGAGTGCCCTATCAAATATTATAAATAATTTACCAAGAAATATTACACTGTCATATTTATATGAAATATAATTTTCGACTAATCGCTTTATGTAATAATTATTCATGTTCATTTACATAAAATAAATAAACAATCTTTTCCGTTTCAATAATATTGTCTTTGTTTTTTATTCTCAAAAATTTCACCTGCTTTTTATTAATATAAAACATACTGCATTGTTAACTTCAATTGTATTCATTCGCATGCTTGATATTTTGTTAGCTATATAAATATTTTTAAAAAAAACTTTCCTGGTAACAACCATAATGACAATACATTACGTTTGATTATATATAGAAAAACAGGATAAAACTCGATATAAAGGCCAACTCACTGGTTAATTGTTGCTAATGTCAACAACGCTCTTATTTTTACATAAATAAAGCTGCCAATAATAATTTGTTTACTTGAAACAAATTGGTATATAAGACTTTCAAACTAGAATTGTTTTATCAGACTTATTCGTAGGTTTGTACGCGTCTTTTAAAGTTAGAAATAACTATGGCTAAATTTTTATTGATCAGCGTTGTCCTTGTAGCTGCTCTGGTTGTTTGTAAGAAATTAATCATCAATTATTCTAATATTTATTTAATAATTCCTTGGATATTAAATATGTAAAATTTTTTAAGGTGTCAATGCTAACACTAGTTTAAAGTGTGGGCCAAATGAAGAGATAAAAGGATGTGGAGCGTGTGATAATACTTGTAAAGAAAGAAATATGATGTGTACCATGGTGAGTTTCATTAATTTTTTAAATTATTAACACTGAAAATATAAATCTATTGATATTTAACTTTACATATGATTGTTCCCTAGGACTGTCGTCCACCCGAATGTGGTTGTAAAAAGGGGTTCTATAGAAACGATGACCGGAAGTGTGTGTCCTTATCACAGTGCCCTATCAAACCTAAACAATAATCTACCAAGCAATAATATAATTTCGTGTTTATATGAAACTAGAATTTAAATATGCCCACACGCACGAACTTGAATTCAGAGTTTGCACATATTTTCATGCTTATGATATATTTGACCGATCACATTATGAATAAATTGGCTTCATATATATTTCATCTCAATTTTATGTCAGGATATTGTTTTTGTTTATGGTTATTTTAGTAATTGTTTTTTAAGGTTTATGTAAAATAAATAAATTTTCAAAACTTCCGTTACAAAAAAAAATTACATGTTTTTTATTTTCAAAAATTTCACCTTTTCTAATCTAATACTACATTATTATTATGGTCAAAATTATAATTATTTAAAAATTTTATATTCATTCGAGTGAAATAAATAAAATTTTCAATGAAAAAAATAAAAACTTTGTTTAATATTTTCAAAAATATTATCAGTCCCAAAGAATAAATAAAATGCATTATTATATAATTTTGATTAAAAATACAAAACTAGGATAATTAAAAAATGTAATTTAATCTGTCTAGCGGTAACTATCCTTGGTATTATATCATGAGATATAAATATTAAATTGTCACACTAAAAAGTACTCTAATTACTTGAGGAAAATAATTTTTCCCTATGACATAAATTATACGATGATAATAATAAGGATCATGAAAATGTGAATCATAATAAATTTTCCGAGTTGACGTATGTATCCGTATAGTGTGACGTAGAAAGAGTAATTATGAATAATAATTATAATTACAACTCACAACTATGAGAGTAATTATTTTTAAGTTTGTGTATGAACTGATAGTAAAAATGGTATATAGGCAGTAGCAACTTCAAATTATCGTTATTTTAACGTAAGCGAATGCAAAAACAATTCTATCGACGCAATGTCGCAGTTTTTATTAGTAAAAATATTTTTGACATTTTCCTTAATCGGCGTTTGTAAGTTATTAGAAAATTTTGTTATTAGATTTGAATCAATAATAATAATAACTCATTTTTTTAATTTAAAGATGTCAAAGCTGATGAAGGCTGTCGTGAAGACTGCGGTGAAAATGCCTTCTGTAATTCCTGTGGTAATCATTGTGAGCAATTTTGCTCAGATGAAAACCAAAAACCTTGTACAAGGGTACGTTTGATTATTCATGAAAATGTTTATAAATTAATGTGAGTATTTTTTTGTTTCACAGATTTGCAATCCTCCTGGTTGTCACTGTATAGAAAATTTTGTAAGAGATGAATTAACTAACAAGTGTGTTCTCAAAGAAAATTGTTCCCCAAAGAAAACTGAGGAGTAAATAATTGATATGAAAATTGTAATTGTTAATATTTGTTAGAATAAGCAAGTCTCGTTATTATTATTATACATAATAAATTATGTTATAACTGAAACTTTAAATAACTTTTTTTTTTATTTTTTCAACTGAAGTAGAAAAATAAAAAACGCTGAAAATTTTAATTGTAGTTTTTTTATATTTGAAATTTATAGAGTGAGTTTTTATTGATCAGCAAATTTGTTGTTAAAATATTGTGAGGGAATATGATCAGTAAACATTTACTATATATTGAAAATAAATACAGGCTTTGGATTGATATTTACACAAGCGTTGCACAGATATATTATTCAGAACTTTTAACAAAAAAATATTTTAACTATTTGAAGTCTGCAGCTTAAAAAAAATATTGTTTAAACTTTGTGTTGTTTGTGTAAACATGTCATTTTTCCAAGTCAGCGACCAAATAAATTAATAAATTTATCTGTTCAATAAGGAAAGAAACTATCATCCTCAAAAATAGATTGATAATAAATCAAAGTAATTGATAGATCAATTGTCCAAGTCAACCATGTCGCGATTTTTGTTAGCATCAATATTCTTAATCGCTTCAATGTCAATAGTTGAAATCTGTGAGTTGATAAGGTTTTGTTTTTTGTTAATTTTTTGTTTTACATAACTCAAACTTCTATGTTTTATAGCTATAATTTATTCTGACTTTTAAGGTGCCAGAAAGAGAACTTGTGATAAGAAATGCGCCGCATATGAGATATGCAATCCTTGTGGAAACCATTGTGAAGTTAAATGTTCAGAATGGCCCGTCAAACCATGTCCTAGGGTAAACTCTTCATGGATTGAATTTATAATTTATTTATATTCATACGCTTGCGTAATAATTTGTGCATAAAAAATTGCAATATTTTAAAAATTATTTAATTTTATTTTTAGATTTGTGCTCCTCCGGCTTGCGTGTGCAAAAGAGGTCTTTACAGAGATGATCAAACTGAGAAATGTGTTTCACACAATAAATGTTCAGTGCATTCGAAGAACTGATCCTACTATTAACATGGAGTATTTAAAATATTTAAACATTATAATTTAAAAAAGTTTCGACACTTCAAATATTTTGAAAATTTATCACTTGTAATAATATTTACAAAGAAATCTTCAATGCTTAGGTAAATGTTTTTATATTTCAATTGGTGATGATGTAATGTAATTTTTGTAATAAAAAATATTCATTTTATCATTTATATTTTTGTAATTGTTAATTTGAATTAATTTGATTCTGGATGATTAACTAAATTAGAAAAAATAATAATTATTGATTGAAGAATAAAAATTTTAATATCAAAACTATGAAGCACTTGACAATAGCGTGGAATTATTTTTTGCACGCGTTCGTGACAGATACCGATAAATAAAAGATCGGAGAGATTGCGCGTTGTTTATTGCAGTAACTGGCGCACATCCTTATTATTTATTGTTCATTATTCTTTGATATCACCTATCACACATGATTAAGTACGATAATGTTGTTGTTTATACCTTACCAACTAATTGTTTATAGAGGAAAAAAAAAACGCAGATAATAATGATTCATTACAATCAAACTTACGTAATAAAAAGTTTCCTCGTTATTTATCATTACTATACAGTTACAACTGCCTTTAAATTAAGTGTATCATTAATCACAACCATAGTTGAACTTTTTTTATAATCATAAAATTAATAAAATATATTCACTTTATTTTAATAATCGTCAACTACTTTTAATGCTAATAATTCTTTAATAATAGTAATAATAGTAAAACAAAATAGAGTAAATAATTTTTTTTCCAACTATAAAAAATAATTTGAAAAAGTTTCTCTGTAATTAATAAAAGATCATATTGTGTAGATATGTATGCATTATGACTCAAAATTTAATATTTAATTGTAGAACATGATAATTACTATTGTTAATTATTTTATTTTTTTATAACTGACAATTCTTGCAAAGTGATTAAATATCTATTTTTATTTAATCCTCTGACGTATAAAAGTCGCGTGTAGTTTGTCTAGCTATCAGTTGAGTAATTGCAGAGGTACACAAACAAGTTTTATTTGTGTAAATAAAATATAAAATGACACGAGCATTATTTTATATTTTCGTTGTTGCTTTTGTCATTTGTGAGTAATATTATATTTAATAAAAATAATAAATAATAGTTAATAATTGGGAAATTTTCAGATACTACAATGGCTCAAGAATGTGGCCAAAATGAGAGATACTATTCTTGTGGATCGTGTGACACAAAATGTAGCAACCCAGGACCGATGGCTTGTACAGATGTAAGCATTGTGATTAAATCTCAATAATTTTTCATTATTATTACTTATAAAATTTTTTTAGGATTGTCGTCCTGGAAAGTGTGGTTGTAATGCTGGTTACATCAGAGATGACAAGAGTGGAAAATGTATAGAGCCGGGAAATTGTTCGTGAATAATAAAATTATTGTAAAATAAATAAAAGTTATTATAGCAATTATAAATTTTGTTGGATTATTTTATTCTATGATAATATTACGGTGACTTAATTGAATTATTCAACACATGTTAATTGAAGTATTTAACCGATGTTTTTATTTAGTCTGAAGGTTCTGCTTGCTCTAACAATATTTATTTGGCATAGGTAATTATGGGTTTCTACCGCACTGGAATTCACTGTGTAAACCAGAGGAAATCTGTTAGTTTCTCATCGTCGTTTTCGTTTATCTAGGGTTGGGGAGACTACCCCCATGGAAATAATATATATTTTGGATATATTAAAAATATATGTCATTTTATATTTTGAATATAAATAAAATATATTTATTATATACATGAAATATATAAATATATATTTCACGTATATTTCAAATATATTCTAATTACAGTACTTTTGGCCGTTTTTTGTATATAAAAAATATATTTCTGATATAAGAAAAATATACGCAAAATATATTTTTTTTGTATGATAAATATAAATGTTGAATATATAAAAAATATACTTAGAATGTTCTTTAAATATAAGTAGCTTTATATAATGAAAATATTTTCTAGACTATATTTTTTATATATTTTAAATATAATTGAAATATACGTAAAATGTACTCAAAGTCTATAGGACAAAATTAACAGCCCGAGATTTTGGATTTTGTTAACTTGAGAACATTTGCCAGTGCATGGTTACAATGTTTGTTCCGGAAAACTTTAAATTAGGCCAGTTTCTTGTACGGTTCAAAATCTTGGGCTGTCAATTTTGTCCTATAGACTTTGAGATATAAAGCTGCTTATATTTTAAATACATTCTGAGTATATTTTTTATATATTCGACATTTATATTTATCATACAAAAAAAATATATTTTGCGTATATTTTTCTTATATCTGAAATATATTTTTTATATACAAAAAACGGCCAAAAGTACTGTAATTAGAATATATTTGAAATATACGTGAAATATATTTTTATATTATAAATATATTTTATTTATATTCAAAATATAAAATGACATATATTTTTAATATATCCAAAATATATATTATTTCCATGGGGGTAGAGACCGATCATTGAGTTAAAGCATATGCCATACGTATGTACCTAAATTGTTAAATAATCAAACTAAGTAATATCTTGTTCGCATGCTGTTTAATATTCATAATTTTACTTACTATAAAATATAATATTAATTATAACAATGATGAAAAAAATTATAATTATAATTATAACGATGAGAAATTGCAATTTAATTTCGCTAAAATTTATTTTGTACAATACTTAGTGGATTGAATTTAATTTATACATCTAAATATCGTAAAAACATTCATCTGGGCGGACACACAAGTTGAAAGATTTATCTCTTACAAATCCTTTCTGGCAAACACAAGCTGCAGGAAGACAAACCTTTAAAGTTAGAGAATATTATTATTATTATTATTATTATTATTGGTGTTGTAATTTTTTGAAAGTGAAATAATAATATTTACTGCCAAAACGTTTATAAAATTTAAATTCAATTATAAATAAAATGTATTGATTCGCTTGTAAAATAATAATAATAGTAAATATAAAACTTACTACTGGACAGATTTTTGGTCCAGTATCTGAACAACTAAGCTCGCATTCAGCACCGCATTGTGAGCATTCTTCATTGACACCACATGGTTCACTGCATTCTTCCGCAAAAACGTCTTCAAAAGAAAATTTAAATAAACAAAAGCTCGTTAAAATTATAAATAGAAAAAAATTACTTACGGATAAAAAAAAAAGCGATGAGCAAAACTTTAAAAAAAGATAAAAATCGTAACATAGTGTATTTATTTATGTCTCAGTTATTCAAAACTGTGGGTTATCATCTATTGTGAGGTACTTATATACTGAATCTTTTTTTAACTTCTATAAGCGCCGTGTAATCAATCAAAAATAAAAATAAATGAATATAGAAATTAATAGCTGGATAATAGACGGGAAATTATAGAAAAGATGTACAGATAATTATTATAATGATACTTAATAGTTGAATAATAATTTATTCTCCGATTAAGTTTATTTAAAGACAGTTTTTTTATTATTATTAAATATTATTACAGGTACTGCTTTAACTATGTGCAGATAATTTTCTTATTAGATATGCTTTAAAAAATACACTATTGTAGTAAAAGTATTTATTATTTATACATGTCATTAGTTTTTTATATTAACGATGAAATTGATTTCAAAAAAATTAATAACGAAAATCTAACTATCACTTAAACTGTTTTTCAGAAGTTTGACTGTTCTGATTGTCAGATTCATGATAATAAAGCGAATTTATCTCTAATCATCGGCATATTCATCGAACACAGTAATTAGTCCATCGTCAATCTCA